TAGCATATTGTCACGGTTTAGGTTTTAGGTCCCGTTTTATTTGTAATTTGTTAACCCCTCTGTCTTCTTTAAGATCATATAAGATTATTGATCTCACACTGAGGAAATTTACAATGTAGTTGTTCTTCCTGTTTCCTGATAGTCTTGTATATTTAAACCCTGTGTGTTCCTCTACTCTTTGCTCCGTCATTGTCATCCCACTTCTGTTTTAGTTCTTGTCGTAGGTCCCTGTTCGGTTACTTTTTGTGTTTATCAAAGCCATTATTTTTGCAGTTCTGCATTTTGCGTTCCTTGACTTTTGCACCGTGACAATATCTGTCTCACATTGATCTACAGAATAGACCTTTGAACAATATTCTCTATAGTCTCACCTGTAATACATTGATTTGCTCTAGTTAGAACTAATCTGTCATTCCTTCTCACTAAAATGAAAAACAAAGATGGTCAGTGTCACTCATATGTTTTAGCTGCTCATATGGGACACCAGCTTCATAGACGGCTTGAAGCTTGCAGTGGGAGTGTAAAATTCTTCTCAAGTTGTCAAACGCTTTTCTCCTTTCGTGGCGGCCTTTCTGTTTCAATAATGACATCCCACACAAAAGATGCCAGTTCCCAAAAGTGTCCCGTACGGTTCCGACAGTCCTGGCTGGTCCTGGACTTGAAATTGTCTAGTATTGCTATCAACTTTCATTTAATCGCTGATCACGCTGCAGCTTCCTCTGTCTCTGCAGCCTGATAATAAGCCAATGGTGAGAAATGCTGGATAGATGCATTCGGTTTGCACTGAAATGGGCCCTCACTTAGACTCATTACTCTTGATTTGGTTCAAATTGTAATTTAACAACAAATCGATTCTCCGACAGAGCTGACCTTTGCTGGGCGCTTTTTACATTTTCCCTCAAAGTGCTTGTGCGAAGCTGAGAGCCAGCCGAGGCATGAGCCCTCCTGCTATTTTAAAACGCGCCCCTGTCTCATGTGCCGCTTGCCATGGATCTGTCGCCTTCTGTTCAGCTTTGTTTTTGTCGTGGCTGATGGAAACACAAGAGCACTCTAATTAAGACACACAATTGGATATGAGCTTTCAAAACATGTTGCACAAAATATGAAAACACACTTGCACAGGGTTTTGAAAAAAAATAAATCACTAGTTTTCATTTTGCCTGAAATTTCATGTGGATGACAGAAAAGCAATATTGAGTTTGAGAGGCAGCGAGAATACGTGTGTCTGCTTTTTTGGTTCATAAAGATAAGATTAGTGGGAAAATTTCAGTGTATTCATTGAATAATTTCAGTGTATTATTCACTTCAATAAAACATTATTTTTGCACAGCCCTAAATCACAAGCAGTCATCTCTGAGGTCTTTACAAAGTTGTTGATTCCCGTAACAATAGATCAGAAAGCATCTTATTTGTGAAATAGAGTTATGTAGAATATTACAACTATGTTTAAATGGTGCTACAACTGTATCCACTAAACGTGCTTTGGTCTTGCTTCATCATAAAATAATTAAATTTCTATTCAACTGAACGACTTACCAGCTTGCGGTACAATTTTGCAAATTTTGTTTCCTATCCCAACGTCTGGGTGCCGCTGGAATTGTATATATTTCATGCCAAGTGTAGTTTGAAAGTCTTAAAAGTGTCTTTGATAAAACAGGACCATTCATTTTAGAGCTTGGACATTACACAGACAATTAGGGCTCTCAGAAATGGTGCAAAAATCATTTTCAAGCCTATTATAATAGGATAGCTGCTGCTGGAGTTCTTGAATATGAGAGAATGGATTAAATCAGAGATACATTCTACATATTCCAGTTTTTATTGGTACTATAGTCTTCGTAGTTGTATATCAAGGTTGGGTTTATGAGTCAGGAGGTCAGATGTGCACGCAAAGTCCTGGATTATGTATTGGTCATTATTATGATCCTCTACAGAATGTGAACCACTTCACCAAGACACCTTTCTATTCTAACGTTTATTTAATAGGTCATATCATTGTACATAGCCTAAAACAAATCATCTGTATACATATTTGACCCAATTAATATTAGTAGACCGCATGTGATTTAATACAATAGGCCCAATCAGAAGGTTGATCAGTTCCCGATCCTTCTAACTATCTGATGCTGATTTTGATAAGGATTTGTTGATTTTGAAAAGGATTTCTTGATTTTTGTAAGGACATATGGATTTTCAAAGACACTACATAAATACAAAATATAAAAAAGGATTATAGAGGGCATTAAAGCCTGAATATTTAAATTCCAGTATCAGTAAAAAGGTTCCTCACAAGCATTTACCCTTTGGGCTTCAGTTTGCTCATCAAATATATAGTTCTCCTTTGGCACTTTGATAGATTGATAGAAACTTTATTGATACAACGTAAGAGAAATGTTGGTGTCGCAGAAAAAAAACTAAATGAATTAATAACTGATTATTCTAAAAAGTTAACAATAGTAATATTCAGCAACAGCACTTCAGGTCACAGCAGCAGAGGTGGCATAGCCTCTGGGTGGAGCAGGAGGGGTCACAGCAGCAGAGGGGGCTCAGACCATGAATCGTCTCTGCTCCGGTCTGAACCATTGCAAAACCATGAACACTGTACTGAAGCAACATCTCAGGCAGAAAAAAGTAAGACAAAATAACAATTGTAAAGCACAAAACTGTTTCAGAGCTACTTAGGACTTGCTACTGTTACCAGCGCATTCCAAAGTAAATCAAATAAAAAAGTAAAGTCAAATAATATTCACATGTATTTGTTTGGAAACTAGAACAACTCAAGTATCTGTTTTCATTCACAAATATAAATGAGGGTGGATCTGCTCTCAGCTCATTGTAATTTAGTACACAATAACTGAGAAATTTCATTATTTCTAGTAATTCCCAAAGTCCCAAATTGTCGTGTTTTGGTAGCTGCCATTAGCACATCGTCAGAGAGACTGAGTGTATTTTGGTGTAGCATTACCAGCACAATAGCACCGTGATCACTTTGTCAGGGGGGATTAAATGGATTAACGTCTCTGGATTAGGATGGAACCAGCTGGGTACATTTGGGGAAGAAAGTGTGTTTATGTCTGCATGTGTGTGTGTGTGCGTTGCATAGGGGTCTTATTTCAATGCTTTCCCCCAGATTATAGGGCTGTTAAACTTAGGGCTGTGCTGTAAAGCAAATTCGAATGAAGATCTAATGATAATGTTTTGTATTTTATTTTATGAAAGCCAGCCATTCTATTTACATATAACATATTAAAACCATGGCGGGAACAACGTCTGTGGATCTAGTCTGTTTCTAAAAGAGGAAAGTTATAAGAGGATAGCTACAGAATCAAATTCAGAAATGGTTTTGGAAAGTACAGTACAACACATGTCGCCTGTTAAAAGGACCTGGCAAAATATGTCATTTAATACAACCTATAATGTTCTAAATCCTTAAATTGTCCTTTGCATATCGATAAAGTATCTATCTATCTAATAAAGTATAAATGCATAGATCTACGCTCATCATTTATTCCACAAAACAACGCGATAAAGTAACAAAGTCAACATTGCTGTACTTCCTCACAAACCTATAGATTACATTATATCTATACATGTTTGTCTTGAGATGTATTTAAAACAAATCATTATGCATCCAGTTTGTTCATGGCCGTACATTTCCATCCCAAATACATTGATTTGTTTAAACAATAATGCTGCTTTCCTCATGCTGTTGGCTTCATGCTTGTTTTTGACAGAATACATTTCGCTGCTTCATCATCAAACTCACTTTTTGTGAACAAAGTGCACTATTTATTGATTCTTCCCTTCAACTGCAGAATCTGATTTATCTCTACTTCAAAACCTTCAAATTTCCATCGTATCCCAAGCATCACTAGATGCAGAGCGAGTGGAATATCTAATACATGCCCATTCTGGAGAAATATGTTTGCAGCATTTGCATGACTAAAGCCAAATCCACATGAATTTTGAATTAACCGCATAGCCTAACGCTGTCTTTGTAACTTGTTCACAAAATGAAACTTTTGTGCATGGTGCCTGGTTTGGATAGACCCATTGTGCTGGTAAGTTTTGGTCAGAGTCTGAGAGCTGTCAGTCTGAACAAGAATATCCTGTGACAGGTATAGGACTTTACGTGTTGGTGGAATGACAATAATCCCAATTAGCAAATAACACTCAACATCTTGCATGTTTGATGAGGACGTAGCTTTGATATTCTCAGTACATTCCACTCAATATGTCTTTCAATTATTTATGGATGTCACACCGTTCGGTTTTCCGTACTGTTATTGCATGCTTTTCCCCCGATAGTCTGTTAACTCACCTTCGTTACTGCGGCAGCTTTAAAACACCTTTAACTTTTTTTCACAAATCTCACTTACATTTTTCATTCCTATTTTTCGCATTTCCATTCAGTTTCATTAGTATTACCTCAAAATGTGCGAAGAAATCAAATGACAAGGATCTTTCAAAACAGCAGACCCCCGGGGTATATTGTAACCTGAGGAATTGCCAAACTCTGTAATTATTGTATACTTTCTACTTCTTGCGATGCGTTTCATCACAGCCAATAAAAAGTGATGCATAACTTTAAAAAAACCCCGAAAAAACTCAGGTGTATTGTGAAGTTGGTTTAACATCATAGACATCTCACAAAGGCAAGAAAACTTATGATTCAACAACCTTCATCCTTTTTCTTAAAACGCTCAAGTAGATGGTAATTTCTTATGCCCACCCCTCTCTTACCTCAGATACAAATCTTCAAGGTTAAAATCAAATATTCAGGATTCTCTCACATCCCGGTGCGGCCCACCCTGTCAGGTTGGAGAAAGGGGACAGAATAAAAGCAGTCCATAAATCAAAGTGGCTCCTGAAGGGGGTACAATAGGTCACTTGCATGTGATGTTCTGCCTTGCATGCTGACGACATGCAACGGCCTTTCTGTCTGCATGCGCGGCTTAATGAGTGTCTCCTCTCTCTCCCTCTGCCTGTCCGGTCTCCAGAAGACGACCCAAACGAAGGTGGGTATGATATTATTGCACATGCCTCTACTGTACAGAAAATATTTATTGTGTTTACAAGACTGTTTTCATGCAGGCGATAGAGGTGGTAAGTCCAGCACATGTGCCATTTATCTCAAGACTTGAACAAAATTCTGGTTGTTTGGCAATCTGTATTTTTTTGTTTAACTTTGCATTTTGTGCTGTTTGTGTGGTTGGCCTTGTGTCACATCTCATGCCAACATGCAATAAAGACAAATGGAGTTTACACAACACTGCACAATTAGGTAAACGCTATAGCTCAGGGGTCGGGAACCCAAAATGTTCAAAGAGCCATAATTGACAAAAAAACTAAAAACAACATCTGTCTGGAGCCGCAAAAAAATAACAGCCTTGTATAAGGATTTTATGAAGTTAACACAGGCTGCAAGATGTATTAGCTATATTATCCTAATATCTAAATGACAAAGTAAAGGCTACAAATACATAATAATCATTCATGATTATCAAATGTGTATTTTCACTGCAGCGTGTCGCACCACGCGTGTCGTGAATGACGCAACACGTGACAACTCTGCTTTAGTTTAACTTCCATTTTTTTGCCTTCATGCAATTGTAGAAATACAGTAAATAAATCTGCTTTGGGCTCAGAGGTCACATACCTGCATCACTGTCTGTTCATATCCATCACGTCACAGGCTGAAGTTTGCTGGAGCTGAATCAAAATCCTTAATGGCCTTTTCTTTCACCGTCTTTGAGAAGGTTTTGAAGTCTGAAAATAGGTGCTCTGAATTTTTGATGAAAGAATCCTTCACGTAATCACCGTTTACGTCGTTTTGTGCGTCATTGTTCCTCGTGTTGCAACAAAACTTTTCATTACAAACATGAAGCAGTCCTTCCTCATTGACTGAAAGAAAATGTTCATTCTTATTCTTAGTCCAGTCTTGTTATCGACTCTTTCTCGTTTTAGCTTTGGGATCCATGCGCACCTACAGTCTATGATGCACACACGCCGGTTTGTTTACAGCAGCGGCCACATGGGGCGGGGCCGCGTGACCGCGCGTCATAGGATATGACGCACTACGTTGACAGAAATGTTGAAATTAGATATTACTTATACATATTTTTACAGCATTTAAAAACGTAAAGATTGTTTTTTCCTTCTACAGACACCACATTCAAACTAGAAATAAAATATAGCCCTCACACTCCATTTTCAGACATTTTTGAAAAGGCTCCAGGAGCCACTCCAGGAGCACTCAAGAGCCGCATGCGGCTCCGGAGCCGCGGGTTGCCGACCCCTGCTATAGCTGATAGCTGCTGTGATGGATCAGTGAACAAAGTGAAGATATGCTTTGTGATTTGGGTTACAAGGCTAGGGATAGGGTTCGGTTTGAAATATGTATTGGTATTGATAAATTGGAAAAACAATAGCCTGATACATATACAGTGGCAACCTTATTGTACAACAGCATACCAACGTTTATTTCACATTACCGACTTTTTTGCATATTCTTCCCGCACAGGTTTTATCCAGGTGTTCTGGTTTCCCATACCACTTAAACGTTTATAATAGACCTGAGTTGGTTGAGCAGTGTTGGTAATAACTGCAATGGGGTCTAACAGCGTTACTAGCAGTGCTAATTTGGCTTGCAATTACAAAGTGACTAAGTATTTTAGTTACGTTGCTCCGAGGTTTAGGTTATATCTTGAAGACAGGAAGTACTTTGTAGGGATTGGAGTCAGTGCCTCATCACATATGGCTCTGACCTGTGGCCAATCCTGGAACCTCTTCCGTGCGTGTGTGTGCGCACACTAAAGGTTGCAGTGGAGGGATTTACAGAGGATAATGTGCTTATTGCAAACCTATATATTTGAATCCATGTGGAAGAAAATATATATGCATCACTTGTTGCATCAGTAAGAATTATTAACACAGTTGCTTTTGAGGAGAAGTGATCTGTAACTATAACTTATTACTTTTATGGAGTAATTTGACCAACACTGAAGCTGAGTGAATGGTTGATGGTGGCTGGAGAGTTTGCACCAGCGCGTTGTCCCTCAACTTGTTTGGAGTGAATGGGAAACAATAGACAAACAATTGTTATTTGTAAAGATATAAAGATGACTTACTAACATTTCTTTCCTGGCAATTTACGTCTACTCTTTACTTGTTTCCTTTTTTTTTTTATTAGACAAGCACACACTAAAATCCAGTATCACACAAAGATTTGCATATTTTGCCTTTTTTTTGTATGGCCACATTATGTGTGTTTTACTGAATTAATAATTAACATAATACTTAAGTAGGAATGCACCTGGTACTGGTATCTGGTTGATACAATAGGCTTGTAAGCATCCGGAGAACTGATGCCAACATTTTTAATTTACATTAACGTCAAGACGGCAGACAGCTGTGCGGCACGTGTTGCCATGGCAAAACGCTAGCTTAGCGGCAGGCTAGCGGTAAGCAGAATTCGGCCGTATAGCAGTTTTTTTAAGTAAACGAGTGACGAGTGAGAGTTAGGTGGACTGTACGCTGTGTTAGGCAAAACTATCACGAGGTGGGTCCAAAACAAACACGTACATCGGTGCATCCCTACTTTATAGTAGCACTTTTGCTACCTCTGCTATACATGCATAATCACTTCTGTTCAGAATACCGCCTAAATTGCCACTTACATGTGTAACCCTATGCTCCAATGAACAGACTTGTTAATGGCAAAAACTAAAAGTAAAAATAATACATCCTCACATTATGCTTTTCTATTCATTGGCCTTTCCGACAAAGATCTTGTGTACTTTTTATATAACTGTGCATAGCAACTGCTTTAGAATTGATCGTTGAACAATTTTCTCTCCAAATCTTCAATTACATTTAGTCATTATGTTGATTTTCTCCATTCCATTAATTGGTAGTGATATTATCATAGACACTAATGAAAAACAAATTACAAAGTACAATCAGCTTTTAAACGCACTGCTGAATTTCATTATTGCCATTAACTAACAACTCACATTACTCACCTGAACGAGCTTCTCTTCTGTAATAGTTGCTCATATTAAAGTTCAGCCAACCACACAGTTTGTGAGGATACTGCCATGTGTTTTCTTCCCCGTACAGTCTAATCTGGGTCAGAGAATGTTGTTAATTAACTGTAGTAATGTGTTCTGGGACATTAGCCTCAATTGTCTCAATGCAAGGTTATTTCTATAGTACATGGCTGCATTTCTTCAATTGGAGTGGAACAGTTCTGTCGCTGATGATGCATGGGAGCCATGTTGGGCTCATGCTCATCATTGTACCCCTGTCTGTATACACCCCATTCCTTTATCTACTCCTCACCCCTTTCTTTCCACGCACGTCCCTAATTGTAACGCTGGCATTGGCTTTTGCACAAGTCACATGCCCACAGCTTTTTTCCCCATGATCCCTTGCTCTTCTGACTGTACTCTTGTTTTCCTTAAAGGTCTGGCACACCTGATGATGGGCGACCAAGGTATGAGCTCCAAAACGTTATTCCCTTTCTTCCGCCACCTCTTGTTCTGTCTGCGTGTGTGTGTTTCCTGGCTTGAAGCTTTTCACATCCGCAGCTTTTTTCTTCTTTTCTGAGCGACCTAGTTGGTGCTCCCATGCAGTGACTTTTTCATATGACCCCATTTTAAACTCATTTGGCTTCAATCCGTCTCCTCTGCTGAATAGCAGTGCTCTCCCAGTTCACATTGTTTTTAATTATTCATTTGTACATTTTGATGTTTTTTATACTTGTGTGGTTAAAAAGCACATTTGCATTAACATGGGAAAGCGGCTGTGGAACGTGGCTTTCTGAATGTTTTAAGCTGATTCCCGTTGGGCTCTGCTGCAACCTTGCATGTCATCATTTCAATACGAGTTGCACAATATATACACAAGCACATAGTTTGTTGTTACAAAACATAAAACACATTCTTAATACATTTAGAATCAAAACTTGTTTTACTTATATAGTTATATTATATAACTATATAATTATATATATTTATTAACATGTTGAGTTTTAAAAGACTAAACCTATTCACCTGGTACATTTTGGCACTTTGATTAAAGATGTCTTTTCTCTCCATTAGTCTCATATTAGAAAGTCAAAATAGAAAACTCCTATGGAGAGTTGAACATAATGAATACATTTAGAACAGGCATGTGGGCCAAATGTGTATTTTATGTTGCCCTAGCATAAACACAAGAGTAGCCATTGAGGCAATTTTACAGTGTCGTCCAGCCAACTTCAGCATCAATATAGTAATGCTATACATAGTGGTAAAGCTAAGAACTGTTGGAATTCAGTAATTCAACTTTATTTGGTTTGGATAGTGTATGTCGTTAATTTTGCTGTGGTTTGAATCAATGGGGCCTTATTGTGCTCCATAAAGCCCGAACCGATGGAATCCAGTCAAAACAGTTTTACAATCTATGTTGCTGAAAGTTTGGACACCCCTGATTTAGAATAAGAATATCTTCAACAACAGATATGTTTTGTGCAGGTACTGTGTTGTACATGTTTGAACATCCTACTTCTGTAGAGCAAATGGGATGTCAAACGTTGTCATTTAGCATCTTTCCATTGCACGCCTCCGCTGCCATAAAGCTTCTCTATCCTTTCCCCTGTTCTCCAACTGGACACTCATTGGTGTCTCCTTTCCTTTTTGTCTGGAATCTGCTTTCTTCATGGAACATTTCACCAACTCTTATAGGTAAAAACAAAGGTACAATACTTTATTTCTAATCCATCCTAACTGCGCTGTGTTGGCTTTATCCTCTCATTCTCAATGTAAATGTATTACAATTGTGTTGTTTCAAGGTAGGTGCTTTTTGCATTGCTGAAGCCACCTGTCTTCCCTTTCTGCTTGGTGCATGTTGTAAATGAGCCTCACATGGATACTGGGACACTTGTAGTGTTCGTCCTAGTTCTCCGCCATCACCCAGGGGTAACACCAGCGCTTTGTCCCCATAAATGGCTGTGTGTTTGGGGTGAATGGTAGTGGGCGCCCCTCCCCCAGGCAATGGTGCTCCCTCATGGGGTAAGTGGACTTCTGATGTTTGCTCTTTGCTGACTTTCTTCCTCAGGGCAGAGAGGAGAATCTTGGCTTCTCAGGTCCCTGCTGAGCATTCAAGGTAAAAACTTTGTTTCTTATTGCTTGAAATGCCGTTACAGTTACATTTCCATGCTTCTATACTGGCTGCTTGATGTGCTACATGAACTCGTATCATAAAAACAGTAGTGGGCAAAATTATGTGTCATATTGACATCCTCAATTGACAGATGGATGATGTTCGATCTGAAGATAGATAGATCTTCAGATGGAACATCAGGGTTAGTAGGGATTACCTCAAAATATCAAAATGTTATTTCTTAAGCCAACTTCACCACAGCTTGTTTAGTTGGTAGCCATCCCGGCTCAATACAAAACGTTTGGTCAAACACAAATTAATCTTTTCTTCAACATTAGTTAATTGTTATTGTTCAAGAAAAGTTAAGTAAAAGCAAATGTATAATTTGAACCACTGCTGGCTGTTATGACATGGCCTACAAAGAATCATTAATTTGCTCGTTGTCATTGTGGCTCTTAGAACTCTTAATTGCTTTTGCCACTTTTGCATTCAGTCCAAAGTTTCTCTTATATTTGAATTTGTCATGTCAACGCGTTTGTTATTTCTGAATCTGAAGCATCAACTCCAAGGTAAGTCTCCATACAGCACAATGCCCTGTACGACACAATGAATGCTATTACACACAGCACACATTCTCCTCAATGTTATCTTTTCTTTCTTTACGGCTTTTTTCTCATGTCCAAGGTAAGTTTTGTCGGATTCACTACATTTGAAAACCGTTGATGATTCACACAGATCGATTTGACACTATGAACACAATTTGCTGTTAAATATAGCCGTATTTCAAATACATCTTTAGAAAATGAATAATTCTGCTCGAGCTGACGCATGTGATGTGCCCTTCTGTACATGGAGGTTTGGTGGAAGGCTTGGATGCTAAGTTTAGCCTTCTCTTGTTGAGATGACAATCGCTTTCCTTGAGGAAAAAAGGTTTTCTAGTCCATTACAGATGGGATAAGTTCAATACAAGCACTGCTTTCATTGAAATGTGAATAATCCAGCCAAAATATTTGTATTAATTTGTCTGTTCCAGTGAAGTCTTGATTTGGTTTTGTTTCAGTTTCACTTCAAGGATAGTTCAGACTAGATTAAATGTGTGTTGGTAAATTTTGACTAAAAACGATCAGGAGATTATTCAAATTACATTAATTTGCAGAGCGGTGTGTCTCTCTGTACCGGAAAGTTCATTTAGTTCACTTTAACTGGATGAAACCTGTTTCACTTGAAAGAAACAACTTGTCAAAAAATGTTCCGCTAGTGGTGTGTGTACAATCTAGATCCCAGCCTCAACGTTGGTTTTATGTGAGGCTATTGTTCATTTGTCGAAATGTAACCCCATCAGAACGGAGCAGATTTGAATAGTGTACTTAATATACTGTAATGTACTTAATGTATAATTGAGCCAACCAGTGCCAGTGCTTTCATTGCCCTACACCGACGCCACTATTTTATTTTTTATCAATTGTACGGCAGAGCATTTTGTGTGTGGCAGAAGGAGAGCCGCGGGGACAGTCTGAGAGATGCTGACCAGGCACAAATGTGACATATACGCATCGCCTCGTTTCTAATTTGGGCTTTGCTCCCCTGTCCCCTGCGTTGTGTTGCCTTTCCCCCCCTCACAGTCATTTTACATTCGGCGTGGGCGCAAATACGTCTCCCTCCAGACGATACAATCTAACTTATTGCATCGCACACATGTTTACTGCTAAGCTCTACAAAACACTTTTATGACACTCCCCCTCAGGAGCCTCTATGTCATGTCAACCACTTGTAGTAGACTTTTTGTACCACGATGGTTCCTTTGAGGCTAGAATGCTGTTTGTACGAGCTGCTCTCACAATCTGGAGTGCATAGCGTTTGCGTTGTTGTAATACCGCTAGCGCACAAATCATCAGGGTATTTAATTGCTGTCATCTCAATAAAGTGCTGTTCTGGAGCTTATGGGAAGCCCGTGCATGCAGCTTACAGGTACAGGCTATTTGTAAATTAGTATACTTTCTAATGTAATTGCTTTCACTTTCTAAAAATGGAGATTGTCCTGTTTCATTAGTACATGCACATTACAGGGATTTGACTCCAGAGGCCTGCAAAGCTCTCCCAGGCTGTTTGCTCGTGTTGTACCCGGGTTTTACATGTCAAATTAAGCGCATGTCTGAACTGAAAACACTCCCCCGTTGTTCAAGTGAATAAACACCTGGGACTTATGGTGAAGCAAATGAAGCACAAAGTGACAGCTAGTTCAGGGTTGAGAATTGCATTTCTCAAGAGGTAATTTCACTTTCTGTTTTCACCACATGACTCATTTGTTTTACATACACTTTGATAGGGAGTAGAACGCCACATGCTGAGAATACATGGATTGAGATTAGTAAGTGTATCTGGGCCATGGCTGTTGTTTTAGAAGCTTAACTGTTACAGATTTGGGCTCATTGCATTTCTTAAATGACTTCACCTGAGGACCTGCAGGATACTCCACATGATGCCTTAAACTCATCAATTAGATCGTTTCAACCAAAAAGAAATTAAAGTATTTTTGAGCAAGCATAAACATCAACTCACGCCCTGAGATCTAATCTGGATATTTCCAGGCAATAAACTTGAAATACAAAGACAAATAAATCCCAGACCTTCAAAAAGCCTCAATTATTACGTGGATTATTTCAATAATGCACCCACACGTTTTGGCAGCATGGTCTTACAGAGAAAAAAACGACCCAATTTTATGTTGCCTCAATGTAGCACTGTGTAGTGTTTCAAATAAATTCTACATTTTACTTATGATATATAATAAGGCCATTTAGTTGAGGTTATTTTTTATTGTGAATATGTGGTTTCTTATGGTGAACCAGTTGTGAGCCACTGTATACTGTATTACTGTGCAAATTTGCCACTTGTCAAGGCCTGAGACATGCTCCTACTAACAGGTTAAAACCTTTCCAAAAATAAACCTGTCACACTTTTCACAGTCATGCTGAAACCTTGCACTATACCATATCATATTCCCTTTTGTAATTTGCAGTTGGAAAACATGGTGAAATTGTGTAAATACTAAAAATGCAGTTCCAAACCCAAATTATCTTTTTTGACTTTTGCGAGGTGATACAGTATAATTCAGACCATTTTATATAATGCCACAGCTGTATATCTACATGTTTTATGTTATTCCCAGTAATGGAAAGGATATAACTGATGACAGAGGATTGCACCATGTTGATCCTATATTCTAACACTTGACAATCACCTCTTATCAGCACACTCATTATGTCAAATGTCAGAGTGGGTAAATGTTACAGAAGCTTACGCTGAATTTTAACAAGTAAAACTTTCCAAGCATATGGCTAACATCAGTGCCATCTGGTGTGAGAGGCGAGGCAGACCAGAAGGAAGAGCAACCCAGGTGAATGCAAAGGAGTTTTTGTTTTTTGACGCTCGTGCGCTTACGCTAATGTGAGGATGATGTATTCAAACCTAGAACAACCTCTTCAATCTCATGTTACCGATACAAATCCACACGTTGTTTATCAAATTACACTTTAACTTAACCTTTTATCCTTGAAAACACTGAAGCAGCCTCAGATGTTTAGACCATTCATTTCCAGCGATGGGTTTGAAATGGAGCTGCAACACAAAGTTAGTCACATTGTCCTTAAACTATGAGAGAAGAAAAGTGTTTACCCAGGCATTATCTCGCAACTGTCAACGTTTTGCTCAGCACTGACTTTCTATGCGGATTTCTGCTGAGGGAATCCCAACTGGATGTTTATCAAATATTTATATTTGCATAGTTATAAGTAAATGAGCAAATCTCTGAATAAAGTTAATTCCTCATTTGCCAGCTTTAGTTATTCAAACAGTCTGCAACAGCTTATCTGTAAATGTCATAGTTAAAAATAGGAAACAGCGACGACTATCTGACCATCCGGGTGGTGAACGCTCAATAAACATGCAAGTGTAAAGAAAGGCAGAAATCTGAGGTAATCTTGAGAGCAAATAAAAACCTTACATGAACAGGGACAAGGATTTTTATTTTCTGTCAAGAGTGCTTCGGATTTCCTTCTTTCTCCAATAGTAAGTAAGTAAGTAATCTTTTGTAATCTTTATTTACATACCGCCTTTTCACTGCACATCGGAGTCTCAAAGCAGTTTACAATTGTTATTTTTGGGAGTGGGGTCGCCAGTACAGGAGGCACATGCCAGACCTATTGTACATATTTTTAGTGGTAGGGGAAACCGGAGCACCCGGAGGAAACCTACACAGACACAGGGAGAACATGCAAACTCCACTCAGAAAGGCCCTGGTCCATCTGGGATTTGAACCCAGGACCTTCTTGCTGAGAGGCGAGAGTGCTATCCACTCAGCCACCGTGCCACAAATGGTACCAGTGTTTTTTTGCACTGCTGATCCGGATGAACACCAAACAAAAAAATAACCCACTGAAGCGTTTAACTCTCTTGAAGTTTTGTAAACATGCAAGCATATATGCTGTTTGCATTTTGTTTCTTTTATTTTTATTTTTATCCAGTTTGTAACTTTAAGAGTTGAAACGTTCTCAATTTGAAACAGATGAGAAAGATTTAATGGATCCTTTTGTATGAATGACTGCTGCAATTGAAATGAAGTGGACTGGATTGGATTACGTTTTGGACAACAATACAATGCTACCTCGCAAGTGCTGTTTCCTATCTCAAAGATACTGTAATGAATTAACATGAGCATGGTGATAGGATTGTGATAGAGTTCCATCCAAAAAGTCCCACCAATATTGATACAGACATGCATTCACTAAATCTTTCTAGTCTAAATCTAGTCAAAATCATTGTTCCTTTATACACATTCCCTCCATGTGCTGTTGGTTGTACCATGCTATAGTGAAAAGGCTTCGATTGGACCCTCTTGATCAGATTGATGCTACCTACAGTACATAACCCACATGTTTTTCGTTTTTTTCTCTTGCTCTTACCAGTCCAGTGAAAAGTCAATACCTGTCATACGAGTTATAAAC